GGCTGTGCCAAGTGGTTTACAAGCATGGACGGCTTCAAAAGGGAATTAGATAGGCATATGGAGCAGAGGTCCATCAGTGGCTATTAGCCACAAGGTATAGATAGGGACTCTGGGGCAAGTGATGCTCTGTCTTCTTGGTGCTTGGGGGGGGGTCAACAGTGGGAGGGCTTCTAATGTCCTGGCCCCACTGGTGGACCTCTTGATGGCACCTGGTATTTTTGGCCACTGTGTGACAGAGTGTTGGACTGGATGGGCCTTTGGCCTGATCCAACATTGGCATCTCTTATGTTCTTATGTTCTTAAGTGGTCTTTGTAGGTCTGCTGATCCCACAGATTGTTCATGGGCCATTGGCCCATGCCAGCCTCCAAGTGGGATCTGGGGATAACCCAAAATTACAGTTCCATCTCCAGACTACAAGATCAGTCCCCTTGCAGAAAATGGATGTTTTGGAGGGTGGAGTCTATGGCATTGTACCCTACTAAGGTCCCTGTCCTCCCCAGGCTCCATCCCCAAATCTCCAGGACTTTCTAAACCTGGACCTGGCAACCCTACCCATCTCATCCCCTGCTGGTGGCCAGGGAGGACCTGGCAGCCCTAGCCCAGTGGCATTTTGACTCGAACATTTTTAGAACAGCGGATCTGCATGCCATATCGAAAACTGCCCAGTTTGAAAGCAATTAACCGTGTGACATGGAGTGGGAAGGTCCTGCTGTTCAGTAGTCTAAAGCCTACTTATGGTGCTCGTTTCACTCTCCTTTGGAACTGTTCCGTATTTTCCTGCTCTAAACTGATGAGGCATGTGCTTTTCCCTCAGAACTGTAAATTGTATTCCTTTACATATGTGTTAACTGAAGGCAAAGAGATGGATACCTTTTAAGGTCTCCTATACCACACTCGGTAATATGCTTCAGAGTGCAGATAGCTATCAGGAGAAGAGAAAAAAAACTGACTTCCCCTCGCTAATTGTTAATTCAGCAGTAGAGCAGGAAAGCTTTAATGTAAGGCATAGCTTTTATCTTTTTTGATGACTTAGGATTCTGTTTTCAGAAATTTGCCGGGCTAATGGGCATGCATTTCGCATCTCTCGGTTACTTTTTTAGTTTCACTTGTATTATACCTACTGATGCACTATTGGAAAATTTCAGACCTTTTTAGCATGCACAACTAAGGTTTTGCTTCTCTGTGAAAGAACCCCATTTTTATTGTTCTATTTTTCTCTCTAAATTAATTTTGGTACCATAAAATGTATACACATTCCATGATGTAACTTGATTGTGATCCGGCAACTTTTTTTCTACTGTAGTGTTTAATATCTTAAGAATTCATGCTATGACCCCCTATAAGCCAGTGCTCAATACACATTCCATGATGTAACTTGATTGTGATCCAGCAATTTTTTTTTCTACTGTAGTGTTTAATGTCTTTAAGAATTCAAGGTATGACCCCCTATAAGCCAGTGCTCAATAGGTAATTGAGTACATCATATACTTTGGCCATTTCCACCTGGGTTATCTTCCCAGGTTCAATGCTTTTGGAAAGTAGTTTTTCCCCCCTGCTTCCCCACAGCGTCATGCACCTCCCGAGGTTTCCCTGGCTTTTCTCTGATTTTTCTCACTGTGTGGGTGGGAAAAATCCTTACATGAAATATTTTCCTACAAATGTGTTACAATGTATCTCTGTTTCTTTATCTCTCTTTTAGGGGTGCGCCTAGACAGAGTACGTGGTGGTCGCCAGAAGTATAAACGCAGAATAGATGCAGAGAATAGCCCATACCTGAATCCTCAGCTAGTTCAGCCAGCCAAAAAGCCATGTAAGTAGCATGTCATTGTTTTCTTGGTGTTTACGCCAGAGGTGGATCTTCATGCCATTAAAATCTCAGTAAAGCAATATCCATTATGTTCCTTACACTGACAATTTTGTAAACTATTCATGTCATCACTGTCTTTTCTTGGAACAGTCAAAGAAAAGATGCTTTTACAGGTGAGAGCTTGCTAATGCACAATTTATGCAGTGCAAATCTTACATTTACAGGTGATCTTTATTTTCAGTGGTACATAAAATGGCTCATGCTGTGATCATTAGTTCATTGAAGCCTCTAGTCTCAGATTTTACAACAAAGTGATTTTTGTAGTTTTCACTAACTAAATGAGTTTGACTGCTCAACCTCCCAATGAAAATACATTAGGAGCCTCATTAATTTATAGCTATAATAGGTTGACACTAGCTAGTATTAGATTAAAATGGGAATATGCCACACTTACAACAAGTATAGGTTTGTAATTGCCTCACTGATGTTCCTGTGGAGGTTTTTTTGTTGTTTTGTTTTATAGAGTCTTAATTTTCTTCTTCCCAGTTAATACTGAGAGAGATATTGCTTTAAGAATTCATGCAGGATTAATGCTAATTCTCAAAAAATGCCTTTCATAAGAATACAAGAGCTGCCCTTCTAGATCAGACCAATGATCTTTCTTTGTTGTCCAAGTTTCTGTTTCACACAGTGGCTAACCAGTTGACCTAGAGGGTCAACAGAACATAAAGGCCAAGGATTTCCTCTCATGTGCCTCCTACAGCTGGTATTCAGAGGTTTACTGTCTCTAGAAATTGAGGTTCCATTCAGTCATCATGGTTAGTAAACCACTGATAGACTTATGGTCCACCAATCTCACAGTCTTACAAATCCACTTTTAAAGATGTCTGTGGTAGTGGTTCTCACTGCATCCAGTGACAATGAATTCGACTATTTGTTGATTGAAGAAATGCTTCCTTTTATTAGTCCTGAATCTATTGGCCACTAACTTCATTGGGTGCACCCAAGTTCTAGTATTATGGAGAAAAAGTTCTCTCTATCCGCTTTTTCTATCCCATGCATAATTTCATAAATCTCTGAAGATAGACTCAGGTGGGCAGCCATGTTGGTCTGAAGCAGCAGAACAACGTTTGAATCCAGTGGCACCTTTAAGACCAAAAAAGTTTTATTTACGGTATAAGCTTCTGTGTGCACGCAGACTTCTTCAGATACTTGTATCTGTACACCAAAGCTTATATCTTGAATGAAACATTCTTGGTCTTCAAGGTGCCACTGGACTCAAACTTTGTTCTTTTTATAAATCTCTCTCATCTATCTCCTTAGTTGACTTTTTATAAACAGGGTAGCCCCAGTCTCTTTAGCTGTTCCTCTTAGGGAAGATGCTTCTACTCTTTATTAATTTTGGTTGGAGGGAGCTGTCCAGAGGCTCAACTGCCCAGCATTCCCCTATTATTTCACTCCCCCCCAGCCCCAGTGCAAAAGTTGTTCCCATCTAATGGCAGTGAGCTGAATTTCTGCCCTTTTCTCAGCTCTGTAACATCTTTTTTTTTTAAGTGACCAGAACTATACACAGTATACCAAGTGCATTTGCATCATCGTTCTATCTAAGGGCATTATAATAGTGGTCAATTTATTTTGAATCCCTTCTCAAATAACTCCTAGTATGGAGTTGGCTTTTCCCCCACTGCTGCTGTACACTGAGTCAACATTTTGATATTGCTGTTCACTACAGCCTGAAGATCTCTTTTCATCCTGATCCCATCAGCGTGTATTTTAAGATTATTTTTGATCCAGTATCATCACCTTCTACTTACCTACACTGAACTTCATTTACTCTCCCACCCATACTTGAAGAGATCTTCTTGTAGTTGGTCACAATCTGCTTTGGTTTTCACTGCGCTGAATAATTTAGTATCTCCCATAAACTTGGACACTACACTACTCACCACCTATTCCAGATAATTTATAAACTAATTAAAGTCCTTGTGGGATCCCACTACTTCCCCCACAGCGAGAAATGTCCATTTACTCCCACTCCCTACTTTCTCTTGTTTAATCAACTTTTCGTGATGTGTCCTCTTATCCCATGACTGTTGACTTTATTCAGCAATCGCAAAAGCCTTTTGGAGAGCCAGTTTGGTGTAGTGGGTAAGTGCGTGGACTCTAATCTGGGAGAACCAGGTTTGATTCCCCACTCCTCCGCTTGCAGCTGCTGGATGACCTTGGGCAAGCCATAGTTCTGACAAGAGCTTTCCTTGAAAGAGCAGTTCTTGAAAGAGCTCTCTCAGCCTCACCTATCTCACAAGGTGTCTGTTGTGGGGAAGGGAAGGGAAAGGAGTTTGTAAGCCACTCTGAGACATCCAAGCCCCTCCGCCTCCTCCTCCTCCTCCTCCTCCTCCTCCTCTTCTTCTATTGGGAGTCCAAGTACATAACATCTGCTGGATCTTCCTTTGAAAATCCTTTCAAAGAAATCCAAAAGGTTGGTGAGGCACGACTTCCCTTTCCTTTTGCAAAGGAACTGATTTTCCCATTGCAGGCTTTGTTACTCTACGTACTTAATAATTCTATATTATTTTTATTTCAGTGCTCTCTCAGGCCGATAAAAAACAAGTCTCGCTTACCACTAATATAACACTAAGAGTTAGAACTTGCGGCTGCCATACAATCTTTGGATCTCCTGGCTATTCTACACACAATGCCATATGATAATTGACTATTTTTAAAAAAATCCTTTTATT